ATCAGGGCCCAGGTAAAGCTATGGACTAGGCAGCTGAGATTTTCTATAGAAAGGGAAGATGCGAGCTGTAAAGAGGAATATGCAAGGGAAAAAAGACAGGAAATAACCACACGACTGTGAGTTCTTTGGGGAGGGCTGAGCCAATCTGCTTCCCAGCTGACGCAGCTCAATTTGGTCCTGGGGACTGGGAGCTCAGCCACAGCTCCTTGGGGAGGGTATTATTCCCTTTCCTTGCTCCCAAACCCGAGTATACATGAAGCCTAAGTGGAAAATGAGAACTGTCAAATAAATCCAAGATTTCCCCAGGTGGCCAGCAGCATCCATGGAATAGCTCCTAAAAGTTTTCCTTTAAAATACATTGTCTTGGCCAGGCACGGTGGCTCACTCCTGTAATCCCAGCACTTTGGGAAGCCGAGGCAGGCAGATCACCTGAGGTAGGATGTTCGAGACAAGCCTGACCAACATGGAGAAACCCCATCTCTACTAAAAATACAAAATTAGCTGGGCGTGGTGGTACATGTCTGTAATCCCAGATACTCGGGAGACTGAGGCAGGAGAATCCCTTGAACCCGGGAGGCAGAGGCTACGGTGAGCCGAGATTGATCAAGCCATTACACTCCAGCCTGGGCAATAAGAGTGGAACTCCGTCTAAAATAAATAAATAAAATACATTGTCTTTTTTTGTTCCTTGCCACCTTCCTTGGTTCCTTCCTTCCATCTATTAATCTAACTCATTTCCTGCAATTCTCAACATTTCTTTCATTACTATGGAAAGGTCTCTTGGGGCATGAAAATGAATAAAACCTTCATGGACCTTTAGAAACTAAACTCTAATGGGAAATGGAAGAGACAGCATTGCCATGGACTGTTACCTCTGCAAAAGTGGGACTGTCCCTCTTTGCAGACATGAGCAGATTTCTGCCCCCATCTCTGTACAAACACTTCAGATATACACACTTGGGGCTTTCAACTAAGTCTTTGTCCCTTCTACTGTGTCTCCTGAAGAATACTGGAGTCAGCCATGCAGCATTGTCATATGGGTATTCAGGTAACCAGCTCTGCTCGTAGACAAATCACAGGAAGCCCACGGTTTCCTAAGATCGCCACAGTTCAAGAGTCCCCTGCAGGGGAAAGAAGATGGCAGTAAGGTCAAGGAGTCAACACCAAGGACCCACCAAGCTGAGGTATGCAGCAAAGTAAAGATGGAGGCGAGGAATGGCCACCAGCTGTTGAGAGTTAGACATTGTGGAGTACAGGGCAAAACCAGTGCCTGAGGCTCAGCGCTCTCAAATAGAATTTTTTCTGGTTGAGGTTGCCAACTAAGGAGAAACCTGAAGCTCAAGCATTCAGCCTGGTGATTTTTTTTTTTCCCTCTTTCAGCAAAGCCAGAAAAATCTGTAGAGATAACAAGAAGAAAATCAATACCATAAGGCCCAAGATTTAAGATGAGCCTTTGCAGGGAAGAAATCTGAGTCTGTTCTGTCTTTGCAGCTGTCTTAGATCAGAGGAGACGGAGCTTTTACTCTAACATAAGATATCAAACTTATCGAGATAATGGGTAGGAAAGGGCCCTAAAAACTCAAGTAGCCCAAAACAAGTGAAAGAGATTATCATAATAGCACAGGGCTGCTCCCAAACTGGGTGGCTAAATGGGAGCAAATGTCACCTAGGAAAGTAGAGACCACCATTCTGGATCATCTCTTGTGGCCACCTGAGGGACTTAGTGAAGGCACCTATTTTCCATTTTGCTGGTCTGGAGGCAAAGCTGGCTGTGAAAAGGGGCAGGCCCCCAACCTGCCTTTGCTGGATGCCACACAGCAACACCGGGGAACAACTTTGGTCCAGCACCTGAGTAAACACTGTGACCCTCTGGAATGTCCCAAACACTGCAGTCAAAATCTAAGACTTAGAAACAATATAATAGGGAATACCTCTCCTCACAACCTAAGTCAGGTACAGAGGGAGGGATCTGTCTAGGACCCGATCTGCTATGAAAGTTTCTATTATAAAACTTGGGGTTTGCTCATTTTTCAGAACTGGGATCTTCAACACCTTTGGGATTCATTCATCAGATCTGAAATTCAGACTGCTTAAAGCCTTGGGGAACTGCAACTAGGCAGCAGAGAGCTGGGTTTCTAAGGAGGAGACTGAGCAGATGATCTAGAAGTAGAGCATCCTCTAGAGGTCGCCTAGTCCACCGCCCCATCACCTCCTGCTCGCTCAAACCCCTCCCCGGCAGCAGACTACCAGGAAGCAAGAGCAGACAGGTGAGCTGGTGTCCTGTTTTTCAAGCTCTCCTGGGAAGGAGAACACACATTATTTTTCTATAGCCTGGAGCTGGTAAAAGAAGGGAAGGAAGGAACTAACAATGAAGTAACCAACCCACTAACTTCCCATTCACTCTCATAACTCAACATGATGAGGTTGACTGGCTGCCAGCCAGGATTCTCTCCAGAAGGATATGGCTGAAGGGCTGTCAAGTCTGAGTGTTGGACAGTGAGTGAAAAAAGCATTGCATTAGACATCAAAAGTAGGGAGACTGGGGGAAGGCAAGAGTAAGATTAAAGCCAAAGAGTATGAAGGGACTTTTCAGGGTGATAAAAATGTTCAACCTATTGATTATAATTGTGGCTACACAAGTACATACATTTGTCAAAACTCATTGAACCATAGGTTTCAAATAGTGAATTTTATTGCACATAAATTATGCCTGAATAAAGTTGTTTTTAGGAGAAAAAACATGCATTGTAAGTTCTGATTCTGCCCTATTAACTGTGTTACCTTGAACATGTCACTTAGCCTACCTAATCCTTCAGTTTTTCTCATATTTTAAATGGGATTACTAATTTTTGAACTGCTGACCAGGCAAGGCGGCTCATGCCTGTAATCCCAGCACACTGGGAGGCCGAGGCGGGTGGATTGCCTGAGATCAGTTGGAGACCAACCTGGCTAACATGACAAAACCCCATCTCTACTAAAAATACAAAAATTAGCCAGGAATGGTGGTTCACACCTGTAATCCCAGCTACTTGAAAGGCTGAGGCAAAAGAATCACTTGAACCCAGGAAGTGGAGGTTGCAATAAGCCAAGATGATGCCACTGCACTCCAGCCTGGGCAACAGAGCTCCATCTCTAATAATAATAATTTCTGACCTGTTTACTTCACAGGATACTTAAGATCACATGAGATATGAAATGAGACCCATTTTAAAAAGCACAAAATGCTAAGCAAATAGGAGGTAACTATAATTAGGTTGGTTCCACAATACTTGGGGTCTCCCTGGCTATGTATTTTCTGGTTATCTTAAGAAGGGAAGATTCTGTTGTATTTAAATGACAATGGTTCAAAATCTTTCCTCTGGCAAGCCCTGACCTGAGTGTTCTTTCTACTGGCTTCAGACTATCTGCTTGCTCACCTCTTCACCATGTACAGGTAACTTACTGTGGGTGCCCAGGCCCGTCTGGCTGCTACAGATAAGCAGCCCAGCATGGGAGCACAGACACTGAACGCAGCCACCTGACCAGAATGCAGACGCCAGGGCAGATATCATTCTGAAACTGTGGACTCTTCCCTTCCTGGGGAAATCAGTGAGTTGACATTTTCTATGTTGCCACAGAGAGCTCTTTCTGGCAAAGGCAAAGGAAAGAAAACACAGGATCTCCTCACCAAAGCACAGAATGCGGAAAAACACCAGAGCCTGGGCAGTTGGGCAGTTAGGTACAAAGCTACCCGGTGAGCAGAATTAGCTAAAAGGGACTGTGATCATCTACTCCAACAATTTCATTTTTAAAATTAGGAAACTAGGTCGGGCATGATGGCTTACATCTGTACTCCCAGCACTTTGGGAAGTGGAGGCAGGTGGATTTGCTTGAGGCCAGGAGTTCAAGACCAGCCTGCTCAACATGGTGAACTTCTGTCTCTACTAAAAATACAAAAATTATATGGGCATGGGGGCACCTGCCTGTAATCTCAGCTAGTGGGGTGGGTGGCTGAAGCACAAAAATCATTTGAACCCGGGAGGCAGAAGTTACAGTGAGCTGAGATCACGCCACTGCACTCCAGCCTGGGCAACAAAGACTCTGTCTCAAAAAAAAAAAAAAAATTAGAAAACTAATTTTCAGAGAGGGCAAGAGTTCAAGGCTAAGCAAAATTGTTAAGTAGGTCCAACTGGACTAGGCCCATATACCTACTTACTTCCTCCAGAATACTCTCTCTCCCTAAACTGGCCCCTTAGACCCTTATCAAAACCTTGCAAAGAAACAAATGCAATCTCACACTAAAGTATAAATAAACAACTAGCCTTTTGAGTGAGATACAAGAAAAGAATGTTTTAAAGAGATAAAGCTACCAGTAGAAGAGATGTCTTCAGTCCATCTACCTCCAGGGGATCTTGACAACAGCCCTAAAATCATACCCAATAGGTAGTTTTGTACCCAGCTGTAAGCAAATAGGTTCCCAATGCTTGAAACTCTTCCAGATTAGTTCAAGTGGACTTACAAAGAAGTTCAAGTGGACCTGCAGAGTGGTGGGTCTTATCTCCAAACTCGAGCTGTAAGTAGCAACGGTATTCTTCAGAAAGGCATTATACATCTTGCATAAATGAGAATCAGAGCTCCCCATACACTCCTGCCACTGCCAGCCTACCTTGCAAATGCTCCTTTTAAGTCCATATGTTAAGAATACCATTCTGATTTCACCTAGCAGAGAGATAAAACAAGCTCTCCAGCTCCCTTTTTCCTGCCAGCCACCCTCAAGTATACTACCTTGTTTCTATATCCTTCGAAACACTCGACTACCTTAAATTATCCTATTCATTTATCCATTTACTGTTTATTACATATTTCTCTCACTAACAATACAGCTCCATGAAAGCAGGGACTTGCTCTGTCTTGTTGATAACTCTATCTCTAGCACCAGACCAGAGCCTGGTACCTAGTGGGCATACATGATTATGAGTTGAGTACATGAATGAATTCGTGATTGAATGGATGAGTTTTTCTTTTAATGCACTGAGTTGAATGTCTTTGACGACAGTGTAGGGCCCTCTGGTACCACAGAGGCTATGTTGCGGATCACACCAGCACTCATGAGAAATGCCAACCCTGGCATATACTTCACCATCAGGTAGATATATCTATAAGATCTAGGGGTAAGTTCATGTGCTTCCATTAGGCATTTCCATAATTAATCATTAGCATTCATAGGCTAGATTACCTATAATACCAACTTCAGCATCGATCTAAAAGAAACCTATTCATTTCAACTGACAAAAACATGCTGTCGTTTTTATTTCCATTACAAAGCATGCCAATGTAGCAGAAACATTTTGATTGATTGAATGGCTTTCTCTTAATCCACGTGGCAATTGATCAGTTTACCAAGGGACAAATAGTTCAACAGTTCAAGTCAAAAGCAGAGAAACCTTTTTTCTTTACTTACAAGCCATAAACAAATAAGCTATTTAAAATATACAAAAATTACAAATACTAAAATTCTCTTCGGGGAGATCCTAAACTGTGACACTGTCCCTGGAATAAGGTAAGGTGTATATTTGTGTGCGTGTGTGTATATGTATGTGTACATATATATCTCTCTCTCAACAAGTAACCAGAAGAACAGCTACTGCAACTGCCTATGGTAGACTGCCTCCACAGCCCACTTCATCTCCATCAAGACCTTAATTCCTGCCCCTAGAGAATAAATGAGGTAACAAAACTAAAAGCACTTTCAGTCTCTAAATGAAGCTGTAGAAATCCTGAAAGAAGAAAAGAGCAAGTATAAATAGAGTTTCTGAGAGTACTAAAAAAGTGTTGCATAAAAAGAGAGTCAAGGTGTTAACTGCTGAAGAGTCCTTCAGGTTGAAGAGAAGGATCCTTGACTATTCCTGTATCCTGCAGCCCCTTCCTTCTTTTCAAGGATCTACAGAGATTATGTCCGCCATTCTTATCCGTTTGTTTATTCAGTGGCCTTTTGACAGCCAAAATGCTAGGAGCTGCTCAGGTGGCACAGCCAAGCAGGCCTGCGCAAGTTTCTACCACACCCAGGTTTCAGCTTGGTAGAAAATGAAAATGGCCAAAAGAGTTTTAATGAGTTGTTAATGATTTAAGTACTCACAGTGATATGCTTGCAAGATAAGACAAAAGGAACTTAAGAGCAGCGAAACCAAATCAAACCAATAACACATTCAACAGTGATAAATGCAATTACACAACCTCTGCATACATTTAGGAATTTGTACTGGAACATCCCCAGGTCTAGCCTGCTGCCGCCACTCAGAAGCCCACCCATACCCTTGTGAACTAAGTATCCTACCCTTTTCTTTAAACTCTCCTGGAATTCAATAGGCTTCCTTCATAATTTTATCTTACTGCTCCACAAAACCTTGGCTTCTGTCTAACATCAACCCTGCCTCTCATCTGCTTACTGAGGACAGGATGAAACGAGTTGTTCCCTGCAGACAAAAGTACAATGGTCGACACTAAAGATCACCTATTTGAAGTAAAACTGGTTTTAAGCAGGTTAATAAACTCCAGGCTTACAGGTTCTTGCACTTGGTATATTTTTCTAACACACCCCAACAAGATAAGAGATTGGAAAATGGCTCTCATGACTGGTTGAGAAGGAATGTAATTTTTTTTTTTTAAGGCACTGATGGAATTACCCTGCTAGGGAACCAGCATACATGTGTGAGTCCTCTGTACAGTATTTTTACAAGTATTTGATTTTGTTTACCCTAATTTATCCAACTCAGGGATAAAAAGAAATAGTACACCACCAACACAGATCTCTGAGAAGGACCTCAAATTTCTCATTCTCAGCGTCAAAACAAATTAGTCAGTTTAACATTAGTCAAAGCACTTAGACTGCTGTTTAAATAAGAAAGATTCTAGGTCATGATTAAGGCGGCTCTCCAAACTATCAACAAGACTGTCTAATCACCTGTTACGCGCCCAACACTATGTTAAACACCAATGGCAGGTACAAAAGAAGTATGAAATAAAGTTCCTGTCATCCACACCTAACAATCTAGAGGCAGCCTTCAATTAATTTACTGATAGGGTATATTACATAATAAGTTTTGTAAACTTGTTGTTTGAAGTTCAAACACATTTCACCATAAAAGGCATGTTATGGTGTTTTAGTTTTCATGCTGGTCGAAAACTATCTTAGCCTCTAATGTAATTAAAATATTAAGTTATGTATGTGCAAATAAAACACGATATTAAAAACTGGTGTAACATTAGAAATATCTGACATGAATGAATATGGTGCTTTGTTAGCTTGAAAGAGTTCTTCACATACATAAACTTGACCACATCACAGTGTATAATTTGGTAATACACAGTAATATTGTCACTGTAGAAGAAATTTAGGCACAGAAAGCCTAGAAACTTTTCCAAAGCCACATAGCTACTAAGTGGTGGCAGGACTCTCACGTTGGCCTTCCAACTCTAAATCCTGTTCTCTTTCCACCAGTGTAAAACTGAGTAAGAAGGAGGTGTGAAGTGTTTTGTTTTGCTTTTTTTTTTTTTTAAGACTGGTGGCTGAGAAAGAGGAAATTTTATTTGAGCAAGACAGGGAGGTAAGTGGAGGCTTTTAGTGATTCAAAAGGAGGCTTAGGGGCACTTTTAGAAGCTTTCAAGGTTGAGGAAGCTGGTGTTTATGAGTTTCATTTCACTTGGAGCCTTGTGGCCAGGCTTTTCCTCCTTTCAGGTTTCTCACTGGCTCTTTTCAAGTTCAACTGCCCTGATTAGAGTATGTTTGGTTTGGGTTTTAACTCATGAATAGGAATACACCAACAGCAAAGAAAGGTTGGAAGAGATTTCCTTGAGGTTCCCAGATAAGCATTGGAAAACAGAATAAGTGGAATGAGGAAGACAAAAGTCCAGATGAGAAAAATTGCCTGAGGCAGAATTAACTACACAGCAAGCCTTGAAGTGAAGGTACAGGGGAAAGGGGCTGAGGGAGGATATTATTCTACGAAAGAGACATGGGACAGATGTTGAGACACCCCTCACCACCAGGGCAGCAGCAGCTATAACTCAACTATGCATAAATAGGTCTTGCCCTTATGTGAAGGTTACAGGTAAGAAGACATCTGTGAAATTAGCAGGTGACAGCAAAAATAATCCCACATATATATCTTTCATAAAAATCTCTCTAATTCAATAACAATACAAAGAATTTCATTCATTCATTCATCTAATAAACATTTATTATATGCTAAACACTGCTAGATGCTAGAAAACAAAGATAAACACAAACAGTCCCTCCTCTCAAAGAGCTCATAGTTTAGCAGACAAGGGAGATGTGTAAACAAATATGTGCAAAATAGTGTGACTGGTACGACCTCATTTTGTTAAATAGCAAGTACGATATTGGCACAGTCATACTTCAAGCATGAACAGAGCCCAAGGGGTTCCCCAACGTGCTCTACTTGGCAGACTTGCTATTTATCATTTACCCATCCATATTCAGAGGCTCACACTCATACTTAGGCCAAATCTCCACTATTAATCACATATTTGCCAGCTAAGTCACTTTCCTAATGTCTACCCTGCCCAAGTCACTGTTTTGTTTCTAAGAAGGAGGAAGGTCTGTGTTCATTTATCTCGCCCAAAGTGTGTAAGAGCAACCTTAACTTGGGGCAGTGCAAAAGGGATTCACCATAGCATGGCATGTCATTTCAATCATGGCCCAGAAAGCAACAGGTGATTCACTTTAACAAACATACTTGAGACAATGTTATATAGGTCAAGTTTCATCAAAACAAACACCAAGAGACGGTCCACTTTCTTCTGTTGCAGCAAATAAAATCTTAATATATATTTGTTTGGGGTATGTAATTTGCAAAGCTGACACATAACCATTATTTCATTTAGTCAACAGAGCAACCCCTAGATGTAGGAATTATATGTTCATCCTATATCTGAAGAAGCTGAGGCCAGGAGAGGTTAGAGACTGACTTAGGGCCATATAGTTAGTCGATGGCAAGGATCATAGCTACCACTGGTACCCAAGCCTCTGACCTCCAGCTGGGTGGTCATTTTCCTACCAAACTGCAGCTTAAAATTCTCAAGCTGCTGGGCTTGGTGGCTCATACCTGTAATCCCAGCACTTTGGGAGGCTGAGGTGGGCAGATCACGAGGTCAGGAGTTCAAGACCAGCCTGGAATATGGTGAAACCCCATCGCTACTAAAAATACAAAAATTAGCCAGGCATGGTGGCACAGGCCTTTAGTCCCAGCTACTCAGGAGGCTGAGGCATAAGAATCACTTGAGCCCAGGAGGCAGACGTTGCAGTGAGCTGAGGTCACACCACTGCACTCCAGCCTGGGTGATAAGAGTGAGACTCTGTCTAAAAAAAAATTAAATTTAATTAAAAAAAATTTTTCAAGCCAACTGTGGGTAATGTGTTATACAGAAAGAATTTAAAAAGAAGGAGAGTAATAACTCATATATTCTCCTTGGATTGAACACATTGGATGAGAAGTACTCACAGGCCACTCTCTTTTTTTTTTAATTTAGCATCCTTATTCTCTGGAGAACTCCTCAAAATAGAAATAACACTAAAAATTCAAAGCCTTTGGAAGTGAGAATGGAATACATTAAGTTCAACTGCCAATATCTGAAATATAATTTCCTGTAAATGGCTTTAGCCTGATCCCCTCTTTCAACATAATCCTACAATCACAATCTCTAATCAAATCCTCTATCAAAGAGCCATCTCACCATCCCAAAGTTACTCAAATTAAGGAGATTAACCACTCCTGCCTCCACACCCCGAAACGGCACCAGCACCACCCAGTCATGTTTTGCTGAACTCAGCCTCTCCCACACTCCCTGGGGTGCCTTTAAAATAACTTGTTCATTAGCCAGCTCTTCAGTCATCCATGGGAGGGCAGGTGGTGGAGGGTGCTGGCAGTGCTTGGCTTGACTTTTCTTTCATTCACAGCTGCCCCTCATAAGAGGCCTCCAACCCAACTCAGAGTAAGGCAGCTCAGAACTCCAGTTTTTCCCTTCCTTGTTTAGCTGTGCTCTTTCCCTACAGGGCACGGGGAAAGAAAATGCTATTAATTCCTGCACACAAACACGAAGTCCCCTTCAAGGGAAAATATTTCTCAAAGTGAAAGGTAAGAAGCTGCAAAAAGGAGGTCAGGTATTTGACACGTACAGAAGGTGTCATCTATTTCACAGTTTCTCTGCAATATTCCCAATTTAGAAGAAAAGAAAATGACAGATTTAATGAAAGGCGGATGGGGGTGGCATTGTCACTTGCCTAATGAAATTCCTGCTTGAATGGAACTGTCATCTCAAACTCAGGGTGTCTAAAATAACGCTCATTCTCTCACCAACTGCTGCACCTCTTCCGGCTTCCATATGTCTACTTCTGCCATTGCCACCATCGTTTTCTCTGTCTCCCAAACTAAAAACCTCAGGCATTCCTGACTCTTACTTTAACCCTAGGTCCCACACCCATCTCTGCAGGTCACCTTCTTATCTTAGTGGCATCTCTTGATTATAGTGTGGTCAAATATGGTATCCAAGGTAAAAGGATGAGCAGGCTTTGGAGTTGGACAGACCTGAGCTGCAGTCCCCATTCCACCATGGGTCACTGTCACCTCAGATCATCTGCCTGAACTCAAGTTTCTTCTTCAGTAAATGAGGACTCACAATTCCCTCATAGGTGACTCTAGTGATTGATCACATTTAGCAGCATGTTTGCAGCACCCACTACAGGGCCTGGTATGCTGTGTGGGCAGGAACAAGCCTCTTGCCCCAGCCAGGCAACTCAAAGCGACCAGGGAGTCCCTCTGAAACGACTTCATCACTCTTCAACTCAGAGTGCCCCCATTGTTCTCTGTTGCCCCAGTGTGAAGCCAGACTCTGGCTGATCTTCAAGGTCAACAAAAATTATCCAGCTTGATCTTACTCCTCTGTCTATGACTCCGCTGCTCCAGCCCAAGAGTCTACTCACTCGGCACACATTTATGGGGTGCCTACCACGTGCAAACGGTGCTGGAGGCTGGGAATGTTGAAATGACAGGCAGCCCACTGCCCACCCTCAAGGAACTCACAAGCTTTCTGGTAGTGAGTGTGGTCTGGGGGAAGGAGCGTGGGGGTGGGGGTTAGGGTGAATAAAACCGTCATTGTATTAGGGTGTAGGAAGTGATGCAGGAGCAGTAAGCACGGTGGGGGCTGTGGGAACTCCACTGAGGGAAGACACACTGCCTCTGTTCTTTCCTCCTACTCTCGACTTAGCCAAATCCTACTCCATAAATCAAGGTCTTATTCATTCTGGCCCACACCTCTCCCATCTCAAAATTCCTCAAGTTCTTATCAACACCACTCATTTTCAGTCATCCACTGGCTGATGTCATTTCTTGTAGTGCTGTGGGTTAATTTTTTTTTAATTACTTTCGTATAGGTAGGCCTTTTTGTCCATGGGTTTCTGTGATCATAGAGGATAAGGACTAGGCTCTAGACAGCTCTAAATCTCTCTTGGAAACTACATACTCATTATTTGTGGCATGGTTGATATATTTGGAACCACTGACAACTGCAAAATAACGTATTCCTTTCATTTTGAAAAACATGGACTTCCCTCGCTGCTAGGTCCTGAGTTCTGCGTGTCTTATGCTTTCCATCCAACCCAAGATGAATGAGGAAACCCTTGCTATCTCAAAAAACTCTCCAAAATGTAATCTGTTTAAAAATGGTAGTTTTTAACTTTTAAATTTGTTAAGTCTAAAAAGTTCTTCAAATAAAATCTTAGCAGAACACCCAGTATCATAAACATAAAAGCAGAGATATTCTAGTTGGAGCTATGGGGACAGCCTACTGCCGCTACCTCAAAGGGGAAAACATTCAACTCCCTCATCAGCAACCCCTGATGCACTGTAGGGGCAGCACCACTACAGCATGATGGAGAACTCATCTTGCCTACAAATATGTATAATAAACTTCATATATGTACAAATGAGACATTACAAATCAATGGGGGAAAAGATGAACCCTTTAATAAATACAGCCACATGGAATATAAAATAAAGTTAGATCCCTACCTCACGCTGTTCACAAAAAATTTCTCCTTGTTTGTTCAAGACTGGTATGTGAAAGTCAAAACTTGTAGATGAAAATATAGAAGAATATCCTTATGACTGTGTTTGTCTTTTAAACAAAACAATAAAGAAAAAGTTAATTTATTTAACAAAAAGTAAATTTGAAATTTCTCTTTTTTTTCATTTTTTGAGACAGGGTCTCCCTCTGTCACCCAGACTGGGGTCCAGTGGAATGATCATGGCTCACTGCAGCCTTGGTCTCTCGAACTCAAGTGATCCTCCCACCTCAGCCTCCCAAGCAGCTGGGATTACAGGAGTACATTACCATGCCCAGCTAATTTATTTGTATTTTTGGTAGAGATGGGGTCTTACTATGTTGCCTAGGCTGGTTTCGAACTCCTGGACTCAAGTGATCCTCCCGCTGTGGCCTCCCAAAATTGCTGGGATTACAGGTGTGAGCCACCATACTTAGCCTTGGAATTTCTTATACATCAAATAATTCAATTAAAAATAAGATGATAAGCTAAATCTAAGAGAAGGTATTGCAACCTATAATCGTCAACAATGAGTAAACAAAATATATAAGGAACACCTACACATCAATTAGAAAAAGCAAGACGGCCTAAAAGAGTTGTCTCTAGATTACAATTAAAAAACTACTCTGGGGTGGGGCACGGTGGCTTACACCTGTAATCCTACTTTGGGAGGCCAAGGTGGGAGGATCACTTGAGGTCAGGAGTTCGAGACCAGCCTGGCCAACACAGTGAAACCCCATCTCTACTAAAAATACAAAACTTAGCTGGACATGGTGGTGCACACCTGTAAACCCACCTACTGTGGAGGAGGCTATATATTATCTCAGTTTATCTATACATGGGATGTTGGCAGAATATATGTTATGCCAGTTTATTGATAAGGAAATTGAGACCAACTTAAATGATCAGTCCAAAGAGAGAGAAATATACATGTATCTTCCCTAGTAGGATGCAAAACCTACTTTTCTACCTTCTAATGTACAATCTTTCCATTAAAAAAAAAAAACTATCTCCATCTTTTTTTTTTGGAGACAGTATCTCACTATGTTGCCCAGGCTCATCTTGAACCCCTGGACTCAAGAGATTCTCCTGCCTCAGCCTCCAGAATAGCTGGTACTATAGATACACATCACCATGCCTGGCTTGCCACTACATTCTAAAAAATACCTGTTTACACAAAAAATCTGTACATGAATGCTCACAGCAGCTTCATTCATAACAGCCTAAAATAGGAAACAACCCAAATATCCTTCAGTGGGTGAAGGGTTAAACAAACCAGCATACATTCATACCATAGAATACTGCTCAGCAATAAAATGGAATGCGCTACTGATATCCGCAACAACCTGAACGAGTCTTCAGAGGCTTGCGCTGAGGAAAAAAAAAAAAAAAAAAAAAAAATGCCAATCCTAAAAAGCTACCTGCTAATGATTCCATTTTTATGATATTCTTTTTTTTTTTTTTTTTTTGAGACAAATTCTCACACTATCGCCCGGGTTGGAGTCTAATGGCATGATTTTGGCTCAGTGCAACCTCTGCCTCCTGGGTTCAAGTGATTCTCCTACCTCAGCCTCCCAAACAGCTGGGATTATATAGGTGCCCACCACCAGCCTGGCTAATTTTTTGTATTTTTAGTAGAGATAAGGTTTCACTATGTTGGCCAGGCTAGTCTTGAACTCCTGACCTCGTGATCCACCCACCTTGGGCTCCCAAAGTGCTGGGATTACAGGCGTGAGCCACTGTGCCCGGCCTTTTATAGTATTTTTGAAATGACAAGATTATAGACATGGAGAACAGATTAGCGTTTGCCAGTAGTTAAAGACTAAGGACTAATGTCGGGTGAGATGAAGGAGTGGACTGGGAGGGACAGGACTAGAAAAGGACAACATGAGTGATCCTTGTGGTGATGGAACTGTTTAGAATTTTGACTGTATCAATGTCAAGATCCTGATTATGATATTGTATTATAGTTTTGCAAGATGTTAACCATCAGAGGAATCTAAGTAAAGGGTACATGCAATCTCCCTGCATTATTTCTTAC